AAGGGCAGGCTTTGCTTTTCGTCGTGGGCAACCGCAGCCACACTGGGATCGGGTCAGAAGCTGTCGCTAATCCCAGCGTGTCCGTGTGTCCACCTAAGCGCACTGCCGGCTCTACAGCCGTCTCCTTCAGGAGCAGATAGGCCCTAGCTCAAGCGCTCAAACGGATCTTGCAGAAAACGGTACTATTACTCCAAGAGACCCAAGACTTAAGCACAAAGCAAGAACAAATTATATCCCGTTTGCATTTTGAAGCTGTCCTCTCAGTTCTCACTGGGCTTTATTCCCTAAGGCAGTTAAAAGCAAAGCCGAATATTTTTAGTTAATGAAACAAACCTGATGCTTAAACAAAACTGTGTACAATGCTCAACTTGAAAAAAACTGTATTTTATCTCTACGGGAAGTTTTCATAGGCTGCAGGACATACAGCAGCACGGCCGAAGTGACAGAAGGTTGTCCGCTGGAGCTCTTCTGTAGCCCGCCATAAATCACACAAGATCTTTGCACTAGCGAGATTAGTTCTTACTATTCTTTCTGAAGCCTACCTAGCTGTACTTTAAGGAGATTATACTGGTCCTTATGCTGTTGGATCTGCGACACTTGCTGTGTAACTGTTGCTTGGAGCTGTTCGTTTTGAGATGTTAAAGTGTTAATTCGTTGTTTTAATTCTTCAAGCTCCTGGTCCTGTAAAAGGAAAAAAGGGCACTTAGAATCTTAACTCTTTTGAATACCATACTGTCAGGACAGCATATGAAGACAGAAACACCTTAACTCCACCACTGCACATTACTGGTTAGTGACACTGTCAGCGCTACCTGTGACAGATGAGCAGAAAAGCTGCACGCAAACCTAGGTCGCTACTCCGAGGAAAAAAGCCTGGGAAAGACAGAAGCGGCCTGTCGCAGACGACCAACGCCTTTTGGAGGAGACCTCCAGCACCCCCGCACCAGCAACAGCAGAGAAAGAAAAAGGAAATACAGGAAATCCCGTCATCACACTTTTGCTCTCTCACACTGAAGCCTGCACACACTGGGTCCGCTTCAGGAGTCTTTAAAGAAGTCATCACGTGTTCAATAAAGCCTCACTGGCAGCTCAAAAGGGCCCCTTAATTCCCCAGCTACCACTATATTCTGTGGCCACTCCAGACCCCTGAACTAAAACCACCTGCTCCAGTTGCTCATTAGCTATTTAAGGTAATTAGCTACGCTCCTCTACTTCTCAGTCTAAGCTGTGGCAACAAGTGATCTACCATCAGAGAAAAAAATTTGCGAGTCCAGCCACAGTAGGTATAACCAAATTTCACTGACAGACTTCATTTCTTCATTCAGCCACATTTCGTCTGTCATCTTTTCAAAAGTGAGAGCACAGAACTAAGACTTCGATCTCTTAGCCGAGGGCTGCCAGTTCTCCAGTTACTCATTTGAAAAGAAACACTTCAACATGGGAAACAGCAGATGCACCCCAGGAAAAGAATTAAACTTAACCAGTATCCCAACACTGACATTTCACTTGAGCCAGAAGGCAGCTTAAGTGTTTTCAGAAGCGTTTCTGCATCACTAGATTCCTCGTTGTTTTGGAACATCGGGTACCCAGCTGTACTGCGGTGCCTCCGACCGCCAGCGTGTACAGCGTAACTCCCTCTTACCTGCTCTCTAATGACTTTTTTGTAGTGAGTCACAATGTTGTCATGCTGTTCCAATGTCTTCTTCACCTCCTCCTCCTTTTTATCTTCCTCACTGGACTTGTAAATAGCTTTACTTATGACACCTGTCAAAAACAGTTTCTGTCAACTGAAGCCCGGTTCACCTTTTTTTTTGTCCTCGCACCGGTCTCACAGCCTCACCCAGTTGAGCTGAGCTCACGGCATGAGAAACTCAGCCTGCACTTTAAAAAAGCAGTTGTCACAGAGGTTTAAGAAAATAGGAAACGGCACGTTTTTTATAGCGAGGTTTGCACACTTAGTGCTTTGCACAGTTTCAGAAAAGCTGAAGGGTGGGGTTTGAGTCCTTCCTATCGGAAAAGGTGCATTTTGCTTGCGTTACGGCTCCACTACAGCGGTTCCCCAAGCAGTCGTGCAAATAAGTGAAAGACTTGGGACTACAAGGGCAACGTGCAGGTGAAGCGAGATCCGCCAAAGCCGTCTTTACTGCTGCTGCTTCAAGGTGTTTTCCTTCTCTAGACTGATTCAAGTTGGGCAATGCTAATGAACAGGACATTAGTTAGACATTGAGGATGATGGCAACCCGACTCTTGTGAAGGATGGGAAACACTGAAGTCCCCGTTGTTTTCTAACAAGCCAGGAAATTCAGCATTCGTAATTTTTCTTAATGAATCAGTTAGAAACAGCAAATATCTAATTGCCTACTTAAACAAATCAAGCTTCTGCGACCACAGTATGCGCTCAATACTTCAGTCTCTACGTGAGCACAGGTAAATACGCCCCGGGCCACAGTGTGCTAACTCACAGCACATACTAAGAGTCATTTCTCCGAAGAATATGAAGTTATCCAGTTCGTACAAGGCCTGATTATGGGCTCGCACTGGGAGTATGTTTACCAAGCACTTGAACTGCGAGCTCGGGTATGTCATCACTTACAGCTATTACTGTAACATGTTTTTCAGAATACACCATTTTAGGATGATCACACTGCTTTTAAGAGAGTTACATGCAGCACATTTGGTAGTTCAGTCATCAGTTCATCACAAAAACTCCAGAAATGAGCCTAACATCTCACCTTCCAATTCCTTCACGAGCTTGGTGAACTCATGATCAAACATCATGTGGTCTGGGCTAGAAAAACTAGGCTGTGGCTTCTGAGCAGCTCTGGAATAAAGTTCGTGTTTGCTAATGAAGCCAAGCTTCTCAATGAAGTTCTCCCTGCCAATCCTCTTCTCAATCAGCTGTTTCAGCTTCTCTCTAAAAGGAAGAGACAAATCAATCACAGTGCAACACTTGAAGAGAAATGAGCCCACCCTTCCCTCAAGGTGAATTTTGCAGGTACAACTCTGATTATCTCTCAAGTCTTAACCTCCCGGGATGCTTTGCATTCAAGCTGCGATTTTTCAGTTGCCACCGACATCTGTTCTCGGCCCAGGAACTCGCAGGCTAGCACCCCCTACGCAGAACAACTTTCTGCTTCCCCTGGCTAAACACGGGGTCAGTTACTTAGCATCCCATCAGGGACACGCATAGAAAACACTCAACCAAATTTTCTCAACTGCACCACCTCAGTCAAAAGCCCCAAACCGCCACCTGCCATTGACAGAACTTTTTTCCCTACAGTCCGCTTATTTCTACATCATACTTACTTCCTATAATTTTCAAGGGAATTGTCATTGTAGTAGATGGAAATGCCAAGCAAAAGTGCACACAGGCCTTGGACGAGCTGCTCCTCTTCTCCAAGGTTTTCAGCTATCTGCCCTGTGAGCTAGAGCTCTTGTTAAGGATACTGGAGATATTTCGTAAGCACAACACATGTAACATACTTCTCCCTGTATCAATTCCCAGTTCAAATTAGTTGCACAAGTAATCCCGAGCTTCATTAGGAAGTAGGCAAAATAGCAGATGAAAGCCTTGCGGCTAGCTCCTATTTTGAAGGACCTGGGTGGCTTCAGGGGCTCCCCTGAAATTCCTTTTCTCGGTAACTGCTTAACCAAAGAGATATACAGTTGTTCCAAAACAGACTTGCAGTTTAGGTGAGGTGACAGTTTAGACTTATGCACTTTAGTCAGCGGACAATCCAAAGAATTTCAAGGCAAGCAGTTCTACTCTGCAGGCAGGTCAAGGATACGAAAGGTACGTTGGCTGGGTTGTGAAGGAAGTGGGTGACAGCGATCGAGCAGTTGCTTAGCCAAGTGCACAGCAACATCAGTAGTCCAACCCGGGTCTGTACTTTGCTGCCCTGGAAAGAATGAAACCCCCCATCGTTATCTTCCCACAGCAGAGGACTAAAATACCAAAAGAAGCTGTACTGGTTAACAACTCGCCCACTTCCGCCTCACCAGTTTAAAAACAACAAGGCATGTCTTTCAAAATACCCATTCGTTAGTTCCACCGAACACAATTTTAGTGCTGTGATGAAACAAGTATTAAGCTATTCACACTGAACTGTTTTCAGAGCAAAACAAGCAGCAACACAGATGTGAAATATGACTCGATGCAAATTAGCACCAATATAAAATCATAACAAATTAGTTCTGCATTTATAATTAATACTAGGGGAACATGAAGGAACATACACACAACCCCTGCAAAGACAGAACGAGGTGTAAATTCAGTCAGGTAAGGACTCCCTAGAAGAGATGATGCATCACTAAGGTTTCCCCTGCTTACTAAAAATTGCCGTGTGTTCCTAATATTATTTTCTAAGTAAAGAAAGATAATACTGGAGTGGCTTTCGCTTCTGCCAATACTCACACTAGGCCAGCAAGAGGAACGCTAACTGCAGTATTTATTTTTGTTAAGAGGGAAAATTAGTTTTCATCTGCAAATTAACCGTCCTCTCAATCCTGTCCCCCTTGTCTTTGCTGCAGATTTTGCAGGTGCAGCAGCGTGAAGACAGGCGTACATCTCTCGCAGTAGTCATCGTTCAGAAGACAACCAAAAAAATGTTCTCTGCATGGAAAACTAGACTTCACACAAGCGCGTGATGGCGGGGATCATGACAGCAGCAAAAGAGAGAAGTATTCACGAACCACGACAAAAGAGTCCGTGCTTGAAAGTTATCTGCGCTTGAGACACTGAACTTCCCTCCTTGCCTCTGATAGCCCTGCACTTTAGAGCTGAAGGCAGTGTTGTTTTAAACTTTACCTAAGCATGAAAAGAAAAAAACCCAAGGTCTTAGAATAAGCCAGTTTGCCCATCGAAACAGCCAGCGAGCAGCAGTCTGGCAAGAAACTCTCCTGCAGCAGGCTCCCGGCTACCCCACTGCCACTGCGGACTGCAGGGCAGACGGGAACGGAGTATGGCAACTCTGGAAAGAAATACCTAGCTCCCAAGAGACTGCCTTCAAGGACTTCCCTCTGAGGTGTTGCGATTTGCTGCAGTATATCACCATCACTGAGACGAAACCATCTCCTTCAAGAGGAACACAGATTACAGCTATCGAGACCGTGGCAGCCACCCCTGACACCGCACACATAGGAAAGCGAGCGCCCAGCCTTTTGTCGTCATCATCGTCACGACTTCCAGAGACCAAGCCAACAGTGACAGAACAGCAGAGAACACAGCCATCACCACGACTTCGCAGCACCTGCCTGCCGTGTTTCACAGTGAGTACTACGTCCCCTACTATCAATCATTTTTTAGTCTTCGCTATAGGTTTGTCTGCAGCTTCCTTGTGACCCGGTATTAACACACAGGTTATCTTCCCCACTGCTACCCTTCTAGCTGAGTGCCACAACTGGTTTCCACTTACCTAGACCTCTCTGCGAGTGGTCTAGTCGCCAGCAAACTCCATTTGCCTCTCGCCCAGCTCTTTTAGCTTTCCCCGCTGTGCATTTCCTCCGCTCGCCTTGCGCTTGGCAATTAATGACTTGTACACAACACAACTCTCAGCTCTCTGCTCACTAAACTGCCCTTTTTTCCCTACTCATTGCTCCTCACACCTCAGACTGGTTCAGAACTGCGGGGACTACCTTTTCCCCAGTCCTTCCCCTCTAAGGGGTAGAGCTCTGCCTGTCCCTACACTCACCCTCAAAGCCTCCAGCAGACCCGAGAAGAGGCAACGTGGCGTGACCAACTCTACCAAACTCCTATTTCTCAAATGCCAGACTTTGCCACACTTAACCAGTTTAATTGCTGACAGTCAGCATTTAATCCCCCCGTAACCACGCGCACAACGCTGCTTTCACCCTCTAGGATAGGCAAAAGTTACTCAGAGCAACCAGAAACAGTCCAAGTTAAAAGTTCAGACTCAATAATTACTGACAAAATGGCTACGACACCCATTATCTGCGCAAAGACAGTCACGCTGACTTACTATTTGTCAAAAGATCGAGTCAATTCTCCCGGAACCGAACAAAAACAAACGCTTGCTTCAAACAGCACAAGCAAGCAACGCTAGAAATCCTTTTCCACTCACAGTTACAAATACTGGCTCTTACCATCCCAAGACTATTAGCCAGTTCTTACGCACTGGGAATAACCACTGTAACTGGCAGTCTTGCCTACGGCGCGTTGGCACATCTCGGGCTTCTCAAGCAACTCTTCTACCTGTGTTCTCTTAGCTGCTACGGAACACCAAGTTACTTTTGCTTGTGCGACCCGGCATTCACAGCACTCGTTATCTGGTGGAAGCAGTCACAAACCGCATTTATTCTCAAGCGCTGCCTGCTATTCTGAGGTCAAAGTAACATGTCCTGCCAAAGGATTTCCATGTGGTCCAAAACATCCTCTCTAAAAAAAAACCCAAACCCAAACCACACAGCTCTTTTCGAGACATACCATGCTTACGCCTACTGTGACAGACGACAGCTCTCCAAGGCTGCTGTTCTACGATTCAGGGCTGGTAACAAAACAAACCCACCCCTCGGGAGAACTGCAGTAAATAAAGCAGACAATTCCACAGCAGCAATCTTTCCGAATTGTTTTTTCTGCTGCCGGTAACCAACTCGGCAGTGCTTTAAGTAACGCAACCTTTAAGTCACACAACTCGCTTCAGCGGTCATTTGCTAGCAATGAGATCCCTGCTAGCCACAACTAGCGGCTCCAAGGTTAAAACTTCAGCTGGTAAGTAGAACGCACAAAGGGGCCGGATGGCAGGTTAAACGCAGTTTTTCATTTAGCAGTCAGGAAATCAGCAGCATGTTCCCACTTCAGATTGTACCAGCTGTTTGCCACAGGCCAGTCTGAGAAAACAGCATTTCTAACGGTTTTAATTTTTCTTACAAGGAAGCGCATCTGTTTGGTGAACAGATGGTGAATGAGTCCGCCCCACTGGAAAGAAAGCACCCGTGCCACCCAAGATCGTTACCCATAGTTTTGTGGAGCACCCCCCGAGAATCCCCTGGAGACACAGAAGGAGCTTGTTATGCTAGGAAAAAACCCAAACCCAACTGCAACACAAAGCTGTAAGTGGAAACACATCAAAAAGCAGTTAAAAGAAAACCTCCCCAGCAAAACCCAAGGCAAGAGGAAAAGGCCTGCTTTTGGCAAGAAAGTGCCAAAGCTGTGCCAAAAAATACATACCCGTCTGTCGATCTTATCGCCCTGCAAGTTACACACATATTACTTGAGAACCTTGAAGTGGCAGACATTTCAGAAACATCCCCCCAAGTCTGAGACCCTTGTATCATTTAAGGCTAAAGAGCCACAGGCAGTTTTACAGACTCAAATTTACCTTGGACAAAAATGCCGGGAAAAGGATAAAAAGAAGTACTGTCTATTTTCAGGTAAAGCCGATTAAAAAAAAAATAAATAAAAAAATCACATGAACCAATTCAAAATTGCCGCATTCTGCTGTTACTGTCAATTGCAGGAAGGTCTGACTGCTGCCAGGGTTAACCAGCTCCTCGTTATTACGACCACGCGAGGAAAAACGTGCACGACAGAACCGAGCGTCACAAGGAAGCGCGGGCCAGGAGGTGACCTTCACTCGCTCGTCGTTAGCGAGGTCAGGTATTAACATGTTGAACAAATTCAAAAAAGCTTTCACCTTTAGTAGCAAAACCAAAAACAATCAATAGTGAGAGCCTGGTGTTTTTAAGGTGTTTCACGTTAGCAGTTACAGGGTAAATACCAACCAGGCACTACTTCAGCAAAACGGGACTGAGGATCCTGCCCGTTTGCTTTGTCTTTTTACCACGTGGAAGGTCTGGATGCTTCAGGACCCTCTGCCTAATGAGAGTAGGCAACATCAAGCAGCAAGTGCTAATAAAAAGCAAGATTTGCTGCTTTTCTCCACCCTCTGCGGCGCAGAGTGCTTTAAGCAAAGCTTAAAATGAGTCAGCAAAAGAGAGAGCATCCTCCTCCTCCTCATTAAGCTAGCGCTCATGTCTTGCTGCGATGTGCCTGCGCAGAGCGGCATTCTTCCTGGACGCCCGGAGCTGTAAGGCAAAGCGGGGGGCAGTCGGGGCCGTACCTGGGAGAGGATATTGGTGCACTGCTGGAGCAGCGACACCGGCGGGTTGCCGATGCTTGTCGCCAGCTGCACTCTCAGGAGCTGTTCTTTCAGCGTGGCGTTTTCCTGTAACGCGTGAGCCAGGGCCACAGCGGCACACCAGTTTGAGAGAGAGTCCGTGGAAAAAAGGCCCCCACAGAGCAGCTGACCAGCTGAGACAGAGTTACCTGTAGCTACCAGAACAGCCGAGAGGTACCAGTGAGATTAAAACAAGCCACAAAACTGGCAAAACATTGAAGACATCAACACACAGTTCAAACCCAGAAAAATTAAACTAATGAAGTTTTAGAGAAATCGTAAGCCAAATCTTCTTGCTCGGATGGGACAATTAACGGCAGATAAATATTTTTGCAAAAGACATCAGTTGATGCATTAAACACTTGTGCTAGTTCACGACTCGTTGCAGAGACATTAGCTTTGCGTACCGTCAATGGTAGATGGCAGAAGCGTTGAAACGATTTCTCCTTGTCCTTTTTGGTTTTTGTATAAAAAGCACTGGAAACAGTAGAGAACTGCGCAGCGTAGCACAAAAGGCTGCCTTTCGTTTACCATGGACATCAGAAGTACTACAATCGCAGGCCTGTTTGGAAAGGAAAGAAAAACCATTAGGACAAAGTTCTGAATGAAGACAACTGCAGATACACCATTTGGAGTGTGCTCTCCAGGCAAGCAAAGAGACTTTGCCCACTCCACCTATCACCATTTCAAACACTTGACTAAAGCTTTGATTTTAAAACCAAAGTTTTTCAGTTAGTTAAAACCCAACACGCTAGATTCATTATACTTGACTGCAATCAGCTAGCGTTCCTCTGCAATATTCGCAGTTCCCATTCAGTCCTACAGCGTTCTTGAAGCTAGCAGGGAGCCGCTGGGACCGTGTCTCGTACGGCCACTAGCAACTTGTGATAGATACCCTCACCCTCACATTCAAATGTCGAGATGATGATCTCATTAATCCAACACTGGATCTTCCCCAGCCTGAGTAAGTACCAATTACCTGCCTGTTTTCCTAGCCTCTCAATCCTCTGGCTGACAGCGGCAGCTCGTCGCGATCTAGGAATTTCTCAACTATTGATGATTCGCTGTTCGGGTACCTCATAACAAATAAGATCAGTTTTAGGCCTCATCTCTGTGGAAACACACCTGACACCTTCGGGCTACATCCAATACACCCAATGTGAACTTGAAGCTGTTGCTCTGTCTCATAATTCCAAACTCTGATTTTTAACAATCGTTTGGATCAGACTGCCGTTACCCATACCAATACATCATTACCTAACACAGTTAAACACTTCTCTTCCTCTACCTTGGTGGATTAGAAGGTGCATTTACAGAGGCAAAGTAGTCTTGGTTCATCTGGCATCCTCGAATGACCTCTGATACGGTATTAATGGTCTACAGAAAGGGCAGAGAAAAAAATAAACAAAAAAAAATCACAGACAGTTAAATGCGAGCACTAATCTACTACCTAGATCACTCAAAATGATCCAAGATTACCTTGACGGCCCGGTATGGAAAAAACACACACCGAGTCTCAGCATAGAGATTTATTCAATACAACTGTTTCAAAGGAAATCCAAACAGCTATCAGCTGTGACCCCTGCTGAGCAAAGGTTAAGAGACAGAAGGCTCAGACAGCTCCACCGTCACTTCATTTTCCATGTCAGATCAGTTTTGCTGTGACAGCCAGCTAAACTGGACATTGTAAACAGATTGACAGGTGAAAGAATTGGAAGGGAGGCCGCGCCAAAAGCGCCAGTCTACACGCAATCTCAGCACATCCTTTTATCAAGGGAAAACACATCTCGTGCTACACTGCAGAAAGGGCTTTCTCGAAGCTAGAAATCCCTCATCCTTGGCAACCTGCCCAGTCAGAGTACTTCTAGAGTCTTTCAAGAGAGAAAAACAACAATAAAAACACCCCCCCCAAAACAGGGGAGATCATTAATGACTCAGCCACTGTGGTATATGTGCTGAAATCCAACGGAAAAGAAAGAAAAAAAAAAAATCAATCTGAATACTTTCTGGTTGCAGAATACAACACAAAGGACTAGCTTACACTTCAGTTGCCCACACACGAAGCTGACATCTCTGGTGTCTGAAAGACTTGCTTAGCAAATACTCTAATTTCAGTGGGTCTCTGTAGCAACCAGGTTTCCCTGCAGACCCCTGCTTTCACCCACGTAGTTGCCCCCATCCCTACATCTGTTCGCCCCCTCTTACTTCTGTCAGGATATCAGCAGGACCTCCGGTCGCCATCAGGATCGTGCAGAGCTGCTGTAACAACCCGCAGTGAAACATCGCCTTCTGACAACTGCTGGTGGCACCAGGAGGATTGGTGGGAGACACGAGTACCCGCACAAGCTAGGAAAAAACAAACATCTCTATACCAAGAGAGCCCGAGACATTCCAAAACGCAAACCAAAACTAATTTACCCAGTTGAAGTTTAGCCATGAAACAGAATTGCTCCTAAAAACAGAGACAGAAGACAACAATTAAAGACCATCTTCGTCCCGCTACTACATATGGCCATTTGATTTCAAGTTCAGTGACACCCTCTAAAATCTTCAAATATCTGACTCCATTGCAACTAGGCCATGACGAATCGAGCTGGAACTATTCTATTATTGGGTTTGCCACTTGTCGGAGCTACATGTCAGGAAGTGAGAGAGTACCTTCATCATTCGAGTTCAGCTTCCACACAAAGCACCGCAGAACAGCAGAACCTGATTTCATTTTTTTAGAGGGGTGAGCAGAGGGGCAGCTGCCCAACGGTCCATAATTATGAGCCCATAGTGAAGGCAGCTACTGGCACTCGGGTTTACGTGCCGCAGCCATACAGGAATTCATACGGGAGGATTCTTTATATAGAACGCCCCAATGATGTATTTTACCTCAGATCACTGTTTCATCTGAAGTTACACAAAATGAAGTTACACCACGTGCCCGCCATTACGAATTCACCGTTTGGCAATGATCGTTGTGCTGAGAGCAGGACCTCTCCTCAACGTCGGCAGCTAATTCTCAGCTCAAGACAACCCCTGTATTTTGCAGTTAACTGTTACATTACACTTATTCTTCATTGCAAGAGAGCTGAACAAGCGTTGACATGGCTACTTCGGAGTCAGATGAAGCGTCGTACCTGCAGCATCAGGTGAAGATTAGTTACTTTCTGCGCAGACCACCCACAGTTGTCATCTCCGACTTCAAACCAAGGCTTCATACGCTGAATGTATGAACCTTCTTTGAAGAAATTCTGATTGGAATTATTATTCTTCAACAAGTTTTGTAAGAGGAGGAGACAGTCTTCCACTACTATACCTGGTGAGACCAAAAACCAAAAGATTAATCAATAGATAACACATGGAAAATGAACTAGCTTCTCCATGCACTAATTATGTTCTAGATGGCCAGAGCGCACACTTCCAAACCCTGCATTCTTAACAACATTAGATTTGGATCAAGAACAGCCAAACTCATGCATGAAAAAATAATCAAAGGTCACTGTAAATTGAACACATCCATGTTGATTCAGTGTATTTCCAAGGAAACCATAGGAGCGTTTCTTCCACAAGTCCGAAGCAAAAACGTTATTGCCAAAGAATATATGAGTTTGTGTAAGGAAATTGGGTAGGAACGGGAAGAACTTCAAACAAAGCCTCACAACCACTTTGCGTCTTCAGGTATACCTGCTTCACGGTCAGGCTACACAACTGTCTCTTTGTATGGTACGCACTACCATGAAGTTCCCTTGAACTGCATCATGATTCCAACTCAGTGGTTCTTACTGGATTACACGTTCATTTGCTTTCATCACTGGCTACATATTCAACTCATTTCAAACCTACTTTTTGGGTTATTTTGGTGGAGAGGCAATTCTTAGAGATAGGCCTTACAATGAGCCAATTCAAACTCAACTCCTTCGAGTTGCAACAGCTTTTTTTTTTAACCCTGGGTTTTTATCTGTACTGATAAAGCACTATAGATGCTAATCAGCTATGTACTCTGGAAGAGAAAAGAGTCAGACCGCTCCGTCCAGAAGACCAGACGAATAAAGGCAGCCTGCTTCTGGTACTGCTGGGACGCCTCCAGATCCGGACTCAACAGAAAGGATGAAGACTTGCTCCTCAGACTTACTCCTCACGCTTGTGAACACAGCCAGACAGTGCCAGACTTGGGAGGGGGAGAACCAAGAGACCGGCTGTCACCTTCCCCTTCCCACTCCTGCCGGTAGTCCAGCCCTGGGCAGGGCCGCAGCCAGGAGGAACGGACGCATCCGAGGGGAGCAGAGAACTCGTAGCACTTAGGAATTTACATACCAAGCCTCCTAAAATTAACAACTGCCTAAAAACAGCAGCTTTGAATCAAAGGTTTGCTTAATCCTTCCCTGCCAACATAGCCGGAATAATTCAGCTGGGAGAGAAGCATGAACTGCTCCTGCAGCCCGTAGCAAGGTCATGGAACAGAAACCTGTCTTGTTACTGAAATAGGTCCTGTAGCAAACTACAAGTGGTGGTAAACTCATAATGTGTTGCTAATTATAAAAAGAGCATCTAACTGCTGATCATTTTTGCTCATTTTTTTTTATCCTTTCCCCCCCCCCCAACAGGTAAATGACTTGGCATGGAGCTGACCAGAAAACTGCCGTGATTAGTGAGGCTGAAGAAACTCAGCAAGCTGTTCATTCCAGCCGCTCCAAGCATCCAAGGATCTCGCAGGAGGAACGCGGACGCTTAACTCTGTAAGTAACAAATGCTGCATACGTATATCTGACACCGCCGCTCAAAGTACAGTCACAGAGCAAATCCAAGCAGGAACACGCAGACACACTCAGAGAAATTAACTGTTGTTTTAACTAAATCTGTCAAGACTAGTCTTCAAAAGATGCTGAAACGCTGCCTACTTGCTCTGTCTGGCTTTGCTTGTTTTGTTATGACCAGGCTGGATGCTTTGATCCTTCTCCCCACTGACCTAGCTCCAGTTACATACTAACACCAGCCTGTAAACGCTGTCACCTAATAGTTTGTGCAGAAGCACAAGACTATGATTAAGTCTTAGACTTTGCTGTACCTCCATCGCTGTTTCCTTCTTCTGTTATGATATCCAGAAGTCTCTCAAAGGCATTTTCAAAGGCAACAATCTTCTGTATGGCTGCGTTACTTTTTGTCAGTTGCTGTAACAACAAGACTCCCTTGACAGGTGGGGGAGAAAAGAAATTAAACTGAGTTCTAGCAGAACTACATTGCTTTCCACAAGTCACAGCTCTTAGAAGGATGCTCCATCAGCAGCACAATCATCGGACGGAACTGCACGCCCTGCAGTTCGGCACATCTAACGAAACCCACCACCGACACCACGCGATAGTTCCCTCGCGCCTCCCCGCCCTTCAAAATAGAAGCACAGAACTGTTAAAACGGATACGAAGTGGCTCCACAGAGGAAAGAGGGAACTCATAAAGCACCTCATCTCTTCTGTATTAATTAGAGCATTTTGGCATCTGATGAGTAAAGAGGGAGAATTCAAGTGAACCTGACAGAAGGCCAAGAGAAAGATCAGCTAACACGCTGGGAAAATCCTACACAAGGGTCAACGTTTGCATTAAACACACAGTAACAGTTTGCATTTCTTATGTGAATTGTGGCGAGACACCCAAATGCCGCCCGACTCAGCCGAGGAATGAACCATTCCCAATTAGCAACCACAGCCATTCTCCCACGTGTGTTCACTTAACTTAATCCACATTCTGCACAAGTGCTAAGCGATTCAGTTGACAGTTGTTGTTTATGACAAGGATAAACTGCCTTTGTTCTGTACTTACATCATTTCGTATAACCTCCCTAGAGTCTGCAAGTAAATCCATCAGTCTGGAAACACCTGCAAGAAGCACATTAAAAGTAAGAGCATGAAAAAGGTGCAGCTTTTTCATGCTGGAAGTCTTTAAAACACCTTGCTCGAGACTCCTCCAGCCCTCTGCCATAGCATTTGCTGAGCTTCCAGCTTCAAGTTCATCAGCAATAAACTCGACCGCTTACCCATAGGGCTGACAAGAATTATCTGCTGCACTTGAGGTCCTTGCTGCTTTAAAAGCGATGTAAGTAGCTTCACTCCAGGCCAACGAACATGGAAATCAAATTCCTGCAAAGGTGGAGAGGAGTACGTTAAGTACTAAATTGCCCGGTATTCAGCTTTCTCTTCTAGACACCAGTTACGAGTAGACACCAAAGGGATGAGGGACTTCATGTCCTGCCGGTTCCTTTTCTCATCCATCCTATTACAGCACGTGGCCAGCAAGTCAAACGCTATCCCACTCCACGGGTATTTATTTTATCATCAGCAACGCGGACTCCCAACAGTTTGCTTTCCTCTGTGTCCTTTGGGGTAGCTTTCGTAGCTATTTCTTCTTTCTAAAAGCAGTCAGTCCAGTATTACTGGAATAATATAATAATAATACTCCAGGAACTGGCCCGTATTACCCAGAAATCCAAGTGGGAAAGCAAAGCAAGCTCTTTTATATCTTCTTCCTATTCCCAAACAGTAACAGCAGCTTCTCTGATAAGTATGGGTCTTGTCAGCAAGAGAAAGCTCAAGAATGAACGAGTCCATGGACAGACTTGACCAACCACCACAAACCTTTGGGCTCCCCAGGTCAGCTCAAACCCATTCAACAGCTAGTGACGGGATCTACAGCTCACCTCACGGAGCTTTCTGTACTTCTAATCCTCCTCATTTTAAAGCACCACCTTCAAGTAAGCCATTTGGACAAGCAGTCTTATTTTAACCCCGCTCCTACTTACACCTGAAAACCGACCGTGTGTCGTCCTTTCCTCAGCACCCTACCTACCTCAGGCACTGGCCAAATAAACATCTCGGCTCTGCCTGCTGCAAAAGTGAGGTGGCAGCTAATCAATTTTCTAACCATCTCCCCAAACAGGCCAGGTGGTTCATAAAGCTTTTTTCTAAAACCGACTCTTGTACAGGACAAACCCTGGGCAGCATGATGTTGCTAGCCAAGAGGACGGTGAACTAAGGCATCTGCAGAGAAAACAAACGGATAGCTTACACAGCACATCGCAAGCTTCCAGCTCTGCACAACGCTATATACGTTTTTATCTAAAGACACTTCTGTGTGCAATTGCACGCCAAGCCGGTTTCAACAGTCATGCAGCTCCACTTATAGGTTTCACCCATGTTTAGGACAGGTGCTTGCTGGTTTGAACTTGCAGATCTCAGATTCAGATCCATAAAATCAACAGAACGCTGCTGCGCTGTAAGGCTCTAGTCTAAAGTATATCCTGGATTTTCCTAAAATACGTAACGCATTTACGCATTTCGGGAGTGTATTTATAAGCCAGCCTTTCACGCTCACTAAGTGGTTTTATAGGACTGTCAGCCACAAACGTAACTTTCAGAAAAATAATTTTACTGACTCATTAACCGTAGTCTACAAAACCATGCTCCTGATTTGCATTTCCATCTACTGAGGCTAAAATTCAGCACTCAAGGATTAAGCCTCAGTTACACATGTTTAATGCTGCTGAAAGCATGACGTAAGTTCCATAGGGGAAGAGCAGAATATCATCTTTTTACTGAAGGTAAACTATGAAGCAAAAAAAAAAAAAAAAAAGAAAACAGATTCATGTTGCTCTTTTTCTCTCAAGCACAATCATATTGTTAGTTTGGAAACAAAATTTTTAACAGTTGAGAATAACGAGGCAGTCCTTGAAGATAAAACCATTGTCAAACGAGTTAAACGGATCATGCTGATGGAAAGCAGTCACCCTTTCTACTTGAACTGCCTCTCAACAGACATTAACTCATTATCTTTTAATGAGCATCTGAAAAGTTATCCTTGGACAAGTGACCACAGTCGCTGTTTGTGGAGCAATAGTTTTTACTGTTTCTGATCAAATATCTAAAACTCTTTCCATGTTACCCTGCTTCAAAAGCTGCACTAATGGCCTTCGTCCAGGTCACCCTCCTTGCTCGCCTCCGAGCCCACGTTCGCTATGTCTAAAAAGACCTCGCATTTGACACAGACTTCCCCAGGAAGACAAAACCACAGCTTTATCCAGTAAGAAAACCTCCCTGTACGGTCTCTCAGTATTCCAAGTATGACACCATTACTCACCTCCACCAGAGTCAACAAGAGAGTAACATTTTCTTGCTGTTTAATGAAAATCTCTGTGAACTGACTTCCCAAATCATCAACTTGTTTCGGTAAGTTTTCTTCTGCAATGGCAAAAAGAAACCCATGTATTACAACACACGATTGGAAGAACTTCAGGCAGTCGCGATTTTTATTCTTACTAAAATAGTCACTGCTATCACGTTAACTGAATTATTTTCAAAACAATCGGTGACACAAGCTTTGCACAAAAGAGAAAACCTACATTATTCTAAACATGACTTTTATTGAGAGGTATTTTGTTTTAAAAACAGGAGGGAAACAAGAATCTATTAAACAAACTCATTTCAGCATTAAAAAAAAATATTCTTATTTCCATTGACCATATCCAACCACATTCACAGCTCTCACCCCACCGCTGCCTGTTTCAGATATAACCAAATACGCTCTTACGCGAGCAGAGATTTCAGAAAGAAAGAGAGAACCCGACTACATTTGCTTGCGGCTGAACTGATCTAGTAGAGAAGTTCCTCAAAAGCACCATTCGCTAACGTGCAAGAGCGGAGTACGTCTCACACCAAGAGGCTTGAAAGGAGCCATGGGGAACATGAGCCATCTAAAGCTCATTTATTTATTTTAGTTTAGCAATAGAAAACACCTAAACATCAGGAAAGTAGAGTAAGTTTGAAACACCTGAGCCGCCAATCATCTCAGTCTTGGAATTTGAACTCTTTTCACAAGGGAAATGAAGTGCCCTTCTCGTCAGTTGTGCAGAATTGGGGTAGGACGTGAATTTCGTCTTACACTATTACTTCATGCATCATTGTTGCACAAACAAAAAACAAACGCAAAAGAATCCATCCCACAAAACAGAAAACATGCAAGCAGCCTCTCTGCGCCGCTGCTGTTTTTCCAGGGTGGGGGACACTCGACAAATCTGTCTCACACAACAATTGTACCTAGGTCCTACTGAGTGGCACAGCTACGGAATTTCAGTTGAAAAATTGAGGAAGAGCAATTCTAATTCAAAGGGAGTTTTTTATCATACTTCCATTTTGGACAGGAAGAGAAGACATTTCATTCAAGTCTCATACAGCTTCTGAGACCTCAGCTTTTTAAGGGCTGAGCAGCGCTTCAAGTCCAGTCCCACTCGACAGGGCGGGACTTCAGTTGTACACGGCACCAGTGGCCAGCCCACATAAACGAGTCTCTCATCCAGTTTAAAAGAGAGGTTGGTTCTCCGTGTGGTTGTCTTTACACAAGGCTTCTCGCAAGAGCACAGAAAGCCAGAGCACACAAATTAACTGCTCAGGGAGCAGCACGCAGGACATCACCCACATCCAACCCCAGTCGAGCTCCCTTCTCCCCACACATCCCCGACACGACTCGCTGCTTTGCTGCCTTCCCTCTCCATAAGCTCCAAGCCCCTCCCGGCCCACCGAGCGTGCTGCCACCCGCCCAGGCTCCCTGCTGTGCCTTGGCAGTTCAGACAGCCCGACGCTTCGTCCAGGAGCCACAGCGAAGGCGCTGCTGCTCATCTTCTAAAGCAGGTTGCCCCACAAATCACACAGATGTACGTTCAGCATTGCAACGCCGTCCCGCGCTAGCTGATCGAGGCACGGGAACAGCTTGAAGCTTAAAGCACCGAAAACACGTGGTAAAGCCACTAAATTCCCGACCAGATCCAAAGATCTGATTTGGTTAAGTGAAGGCAAAACAAGGATTTTTCCTCCTGCTTAAACCACAGGATTTACAGCCTTGTCAAGGCATCACTAACAAACCATTAACATCTGAGCAGCTATTAAAAGGTTCAAAGACCACACAATCTTCAACCTCTGTACCTTGTTAGGGGTATGGCAAAACAGAGAAGGCAAAGGACTCTGCCGTAAAAATTTGGTGCCGAGAAAATTCTAATTCAACTAACCCAATTCAAACTGTTGGTGATGGCAATTCACTGCAAGGTATCAGTTTCAGATCTAATTTTTAACAATTTCCTATACAGGGAAGAGGTTTTTGTTTGGCCTTTCAGCCATCAGAGAGTAGCTGACCGCTTCTCTACTGCGGCACAGCTGTATTTCTCCCTCAAAGCAGGCTCATCGGTACGTAGCTTACGAGAGGGAGGGAGAACCGTCACCAGTCTGCTGTAAACTTTTAGCTGAAAAAACTATGAAATACTCACAAAAGATGACAAAAGGGAGGATGGACCACGGGCAAAAATAACACCGGCCCTGGCATGTAGGATCTAGCAGAATACAAGTCCGACCGTGAGCGCTCTGAAGCGGAAGTCTGGGTGACTCCTGGTTGACAGCAATAAAGAAAAGCCAACTCCATGGCAGGTCAGTTGCTGCACTTGCTACTGTAGAAGAAGAGGCACCTCAGCTGCGAATCCTACTTGGATTGCACACGCTATAGCTTGCCGCAAACCAAGAGAAGCCCACAGACCCAACCTTTTTTCTTTTAAACAGATGCTTAAGTCAAAATGATTCACTTGGAATTTTCCACGACCCGTGACTGAACGTCTTGTCCTTTCGCCAAACTGAGCTCTAAGTAGCAATTGTTTGAACTACCGATTCCTCCTAATCCCAACTCTTGTCCTTGCACAAGTTCCAGGTGCTAAGGCAAAACCTGAGCCGTATACGCAACTTAGCCTCTTACAAGTTTGCAGTATTTTGTATTTATTCCAAAAGCTTGACTCTAGTTCAGGATGTTTAAGATGCTTCTATAAAAAGGCAAAATTAAAGTTGTCTTATTTTTTTCCCTCTCTCAACTCATGCTTCTTCCTATCAGTGTTTCTTCTTCTAAATGTAAAGAGACAGAGAGGAGCTGCACAGAAAGAAACAAGCAAAGTGAAACTGCAACTTCTGTTTATGTGGATACACCACAAATCTTGCAACCAGACTTCTACCCATAATCACTCTTTAAATCGACACATTCACAGGGCTTAAATAAAGAGAGCAACTTCCATCTAGTAAGATTAGCTCTTAGTGATTCACTAACAATCAAGCAGCACTGCAAACTAGAATTTAATCTTTAAATCAACAGATCAAGTGCATTTTGATAAAACCAGCTTAAAAAGGAGAACATACAAAGCGTTAGTGGTAACTTACGGTAGACGTGAACACTGTATTTTAACATGCATTGCTTAAAAGAGACACTGTGAAGGATGCTTATGTGCAGCTCACGCATTTGTGTTGAACTTCAGGGCTTCTTGAAAACAGAAACTCTGTTCACAAACGTTTGCACCTTAAAGTCCTACCAGTTCTGAAGCTGCACGCTTTGATGACATCCTAAACAAGATTTTGTCATTCTTACAATCTCGGGACATCTGCTGGCATTCAACGTGCCCAAACCACGTGAGAAATAAAATTGGGAAGATGCTTCAGCTCCAAAGAAAACGGATAGAGCAGAATGCAAAAAGCTTTCGCTAAGCTCCAATGCAAGTCTTGACAGTGTCCTTTTTAAACGGCAGCGAGTGTTACGGGTGTGAGTAGCAACTAGGCCTAAAACAAAGTGCCATATGGATATAAGTAAAGGTTCTTTTACCTTCAGAATCATCTGTCAAGGCAGATAAAAGAAAAAGAAACAAGACAAAGGTTTACAAGTTGAACAGCTTTCCAAACAGCCCAACCAATCGCAGCATAAGCTCAGGTTTTCAAAGCAGCCATCCTAGCTTTTACTCCTTCGGGTAGTTCTTGCGGGAGTGGCCACACTGAACGACCCCGTTCGCTTACAAGGCTGGCGATTGCGCACACATAGCTCCGGTTTGTCAGCTCTTTGCTCTTCTTAAGAGAGTGCTAGTAACTTTCTTGTCAAGTCCACTACCACGAAATGGAGTCACCAGCACTGTGAAACTCTGATCTTGTTCAAAACCTCTTTCATCAAGATCAGGCAACGGGATGAACAAGGAAAAGCAGGGCAAGTAAGCAAAGTGGCAATTCGAGACACGAAGAATAACTTATGACGGAAGGATTTCAGCTTGCGAGTCTCTCGCAGCTACGTACGACGAGAAGGCGTTGTAGTTCGTTGCAGAAGGCACCGTGAAAGGACACACCGCACAACGTAATGCCAACATATCGGCAGAAATTGAGTCATCATCGGAGAACCCTCACCGCTTTCCATAAGGTAATTGATCAGTTCAGGAGCCTTTGAAGAAATATCTTGGGGTAATACTGCAGACAAGAAGCTTCAGCTTAAACAGCAGTATCACCTCACATTTTGCCCCACCACAGGAGCATTCGCACTCCAGTACGTGTAACGCAAACTGCAAAGTGAGATACAAGTGCTGTCAAGGACTAGAAACACTCTTGAGGTCCACGGCAAATGCAGGGTGCTTTGAACATCTTAAAAGTAGCCTTCTGCTCACACTGCATTCATGCTTGCCCAAGTAGTCTCATTTTTTTGGAGGACAGCTGGTACGATGGACTTTCACGTTCCTTCACCCAAAAGCAGAATGAATACCCTACAAGTCATTTTATCGGTTGCTGATGTTTTCCTCTTCGAGCCTCGAAAAGCCAGCCTACAGCCATTTGACTGAGATTACTAGTTTAAACAGTGATCAAGCCAAGACCTGATTTGCAAATACTAACAGAAGAGGTTTTTCCAAATAACGCCTGCATCTGACAGACATTCCTCTGGCTCCCAAGCTAGCACTTGCACAGCCAGATCCCATCTCCATTCTCTAGACACGTCCTCGATGCTAAAAACAGGGAAAATGGGAGTGTCCTGCCATCCACATCCTTCAAGAGCCTGAAACCATTATAATCCACAGCTGGTTTACTTGCCAGAGGCACCTGGCTCTTCTTGACTGTGGGCACTTGCAGCTCCTATTCACATACTTAGTTTTAGGAACATTCTTCTTGCCCGAGCCCACTTTGGCTTACTGTTGTCATTTTCTGCAGAGTACCCATGTTTCTGTGAAATACGGGGTTGTTTTTAAGAGCTGCCACCATTTCATCGGCCTTTGAGACCAGTTCTGATGGCCTACCAAGAAAGGCCTTGGAAAATAAAATAAAGGCAGGAGAGGCAGGGAGTTTCCCAGCCTAGCTGCATAGCAGCTACTTCTCCATCTAATATCTTGGGACGGACAGGCAGAGGGTCTTTCTCAAATGCCACAGCAGGGCTGGAAAAGAGGGGCTTTCACATTTACATACAGCCACCTTACCATAGGCACCTGAGATTTTATCTCTCCATATCCTTGTTAAATTATCAGTCACACCCCATTTGACATTACGAGCCAGAACTGTCCTTTCCCAATAGCAAAGAGTGACTCCATTCTTTATTTACAAACATTAAACAATGAATTATCCCACTCCAACCTGGCTGCTGTTCACATAGTTTTTAAAAGTAATAAGCAGGAGATCCAGCATACCTTTAATGCAAGCTGCGTACAACAGGCTTTTAGCGCTGTCGGAACAGCTACGCAGTAACAAAGCGGGTCTCAGCATTAGTAAATCACAGAGTATTACAGTTTACAATTTGAACAAAGCCACCAAGCAAAGGACCCCGACAGTTAATACAACTATTACTACCGAGCACTTACCTTGCTCCTCCTCTTCTAGGTCATTCGATATTACATTGTAGAGAGTGTCCAAGGCATAGCCAATTATTTCAGAATCTGAACTGCAAATGAAAGAACCACTTTTCTTTAATGACTTATTTCCAACTACTCTTACAACATTGTTTTTCTGCACAGGCAGTTCCCTTTGCAGCATTAGATGAAGCGAGAGGGACTGACCCGGACAGATATCTTCTAATACCGTGTAACCACGAGCTGCCCGGTCCCTGAATGGAGTCAAACTCCTTTTCCCGGTTCCACCCCCTCAGGTGGCCACATCCAGAAAGTCTGGTGACACACCATGACCTCAGGAACCCTCACTGTAAGCGCGCCTTCCATTTCCCACGTCGCTCCTTCCAACCTGCTCCTCAAGTATACCAGGAGAAGTCTCTGGGAGGGATTGGGATCCTTGCCCAGGGAGTCGCCCAGGGAGCTGCAGAGAAGTTTCAGCACCATCCCAGCAAAGACCCTCCCCGCTACCCCATCAGCGAGAACCCGGGGCCAAAAGCTTGCGCTCCACCTGAACGCACGGACGACACCTGCGGACTCTCCCGAACGGGCCAGCCTCCGTGTCACCAACTCCTCGGACTACACCCAGCTATTAGGGGGTTTTCAACCCAGGAAGTTGCTGGGCAGCCAGTCTAACCCCAAAGCATTAGTTCACCTCCTTACACCAAGACTCTTCTCTGAGTAAGCCCTGCTTTGATGGGGACTTGTTTCTTCTGCATTACAAAGACTAAACAATCTGTAAACCCTACACTAGAACACAGACACAGTGCAAGAGTTTGGGGGGAACTTAAGTGTTTTTGCTGCTTGCTTTGTTGCTAAAAAAAGTATGAAAGCACAGCTGGTCAAAAAATAAAGGTAAATAAAACCTAACATCACAAAGGAAGGCGCCTCAGAGTGCAGAAGGACACACCTCACAGCTATTTTCACGTCTTCCCGAGCATCAGAAGAGCACACTGTGAAAACAAGACCTCCCATTCAAACTTCTAAGTATTTGCTTTCACTGATCTCCAAGGCATACAAAGTAAGGCCTCCACACCAAAGATAAATTTGCATTTCAACAAGCTACCGGGCCGGTTCAGAGCAGAGATCTAAAAACCAACCTAACCAGCAATCTTAAAAGCTAAGCCTTAATTGAGGCCAGCTATCTCTGCTAGACCACTAATTAAAGATGACAGACCTACAGCAGTTGTTGCAACCAAGAAAACTAGAGATGCCTCAAAGAGGTCCACCAGCTTTGGGAAGACGGAAGGGAGCAATGCGTGCCTACATTTCTTTTATCACTACAGCAAGGGCCTTAGCGAGCGGTGCACATGACACCTCGCCTCCTTTTCTACGACTCTCATGTTAAATGAAAAGCTAGAAATTATCAGGTGTCAGGGTAGTAGTTTGTTCTTTCACTGTGGGTTTTGACTCAAATCCTTGTCCTGCTGATGTCCTCCCAGGACAGGTGCATTACTAGGCTGTAATGGAAACAAAAGGGGAAAAAATTATCTCCTCCTCCGCCCAACCGTCAGTCAGCACAAGTACAGGAAGCTCTCAGTCCGTGCAAACGGTCTCATCCAGCGGGTCCGCTCAGATTTCCAGCCTGCTCATGTCTTCCCTTTATTGTAATCTTAGGTCTTCAGCACAATACTACAAAGCCTATGGTTTCCTTTTCATCTAACTGAAACAATTCCACATCTGAAAAACACGCAGAAATTAGTTCCTGGAGACTTAAAAAAAGCAAACCCAAGCTGCAGCCTTGCTCTTCTCTTTCCTCATTAGGGAAATGACACCAGCTGCAAAAGAATGAGCAAATTTTATGTCCATGTGGTAAAAACAGGCCTTGTTTCTCTTGTCAAAAGAGGAACAAATCACAAAAGCAGGACAGCAGCATCCTACCTTTGCTGTTCTCTGCCTTGCTACCATCTGCTGTTCACCACACACAACAATTTAATAGTTATTCTGGTCACTCTGAAGCTGCGCAGCTTTTGCTCTGTAGCAAAAATCAGTCAAGAACGAGACTTCCAGCCTCGCAAGCGTCCATAAAAGACGCGGCCTTTAGGCAGCGCGACAATCCAGCGTAAGCCACCTTCGGCATCTGCCCTCTGCTAGTTGTGCTGTTACGTGGCGCTCGACCGAGATGTCAGTGCAGCGCTCCGTGAGTTCACGAACAACGGCAGAGGAGAACCGTGCGGAAGCGAAGGCACCCACGTACTGTCCTGTCCAGGTAGGGTGCCTCAAAACCGCTTTTACCTATCCTTACAAAATCACGGCTGTTCGCTGTCAGAACAGAGACAAGCATCCCCTATACTGTCGAGAAAAGCGTGAAAGGCAGCGTGTTTCTATCACGTCAGCCATCACAGGATGCCTAGAAAGGAGGACATTATGTTACCCCTACAACCTCGAGTCACGGCAAAGCTATCGAAGGGGTAATGATATTATCTCTTACAGACGTTTTCATGAGAAGTGTATTACAACTCAAAAAATGGGAACTAATAGCACATAAATAACTGAGGTTTGTGCCTTAAGAAAAAAAGAATTCTTTCTCTTAGGTGCGTATTCTGTTTCAAACCATTAGAATTGTCACGCTGAAATTTAAAACCTTGTTCTCTAAGTAGAACCGAAGCGGTTAAAGATCAAGGCGACTTCTCGCTCTGGTGCCTTCTCCCACACCAACAGTTAGGCGGTATTGGCCTGTTCTACAGTCAAGGCCAAATTTTTTTCAAAGTAATCCCTGGTGGGACGTGGCAACATCTAGACAGCGAGTCAGGAAAAGTCCTCTAGAACACAGTTCCTACTTTGTATTACAAAATGCCTTAAGAACAGTGGTGTGTTTACATGTCTGGAACATTTAAAGGCTAACTCAGAGCATTATCGGGCTCCAGGATGTCCGATAGCTGAGCAAGTAGTGAAGGAAGTCAGCTTTCTAGAATACAACTAAGTACTCAGGCAGGAGATAGAGCTTAAGGCAACCTACGAGAAACCATATAACAGGTGCGCATTTAAGAGACAGAAGGGGCGTGTTTCTTTTCCAAGATAAAGGCTGTAAATAACTCGAAGCAGCAGAGTAAGACCTGAGGACAGAAATGAGAACAGGACCCAGGAAGCGCTCACCACTTCAGCACAGCCATGCAAACCAGCCTGTTTCCTACTAAAGTCCGGAGATGAAGCTATCAATGCCTCTCACCTTGTACTAACGACTTCAGAATTAAGGAAATATCTGCACGGCTTATAATGCAAAGAGCTAAAGAAAAGTGCAGTTCGCTACAAGGGAAGTAAACGATTAGTACGGCAACAAGGCTGCAAATGGAAAGAAGGAAGGAAAGAACTGCTGCTGCAGAGCTGATACCCGACTTGCGCTTATCACTTCAAATTCCAAGAGCAAGAAACAATCGATTCACCAAAATCGGGAGACACGCCAAGATTAAAGACAGCTACTTTTTTACTCAAGGGCTACATAAATAATAGTTAACGTAGTTCTCAGAAAAGAGCTGTGCTATCGTGCTTGGCTGAGGTGGTCTTAAAGCCCAGTGACTTTTCGATTAGATACTGATTTCACAATGAGCTTATTTGCATTAGGAAAGAATCATCTCTTAGCAGCAAAGTTGCTCCAATTTTTCAGATTGCTGTTACATATTCCAGCAGGACAAATGCTTAAGATGGCACAGTTGTGCATCTTGAACTGTTCTATGCATTTTTGGTAAATAGCTAAGAGGAAAGGGTGTTTGCACTTGTCACTGTTCTCACATTACAGTGCTGTGTACACCAGCTATCCATTCCACACAGGCACTCCATGAATTCAGAGCCCCGTGCCTGCCGCCGGTTCCTCCTCCGTAATTCTTTCCACCCAGACACCCCATCCCTGCAGAAAAGGCTGGAGAGCAGATTAAGCCTCACCTCATACAGCCCAACCCAGCCCTGCTTCTACTCCACTGGGAACTAAGAGGGGGAATTCCATGCATGACGTCCACACTCTGATGCACACAAAACACAGCAACTACCGGCGTACATCCACGACCACAGGCAGATAGATGCATAACACCTCCAGTCAGTAAGATAACAACCACTACCAGCTTCACAGCCAAAAAGCTTCACCTCAGGACACGCTGGCTTTGATTTGCATTCCTACAGCTGAAGGAGCCCCCCCCACCTCTACAATCGCCGACACCAAACAGCGCGCTCGTGCCGCCTGAACCACAGACCCGAACTTCGCAGACACCGGGGCTCCACCTAGACCTCTCCCAAAAGAGCCCCAGCATACAACAGGTAGGCCGGCTGACGCGCTGCTCCACCACAGAACATGTAATAGGAAATCTCCCTATCCACGTTGTGTTCAAGACAGCATTTTTTCCAGCTGAAAACCCGAAACCCATGAAGATGCATGTACTGGTGTTTGAACTGCAGCCTGAGCCACACCAGACACCCGCAGAGAGCCCCAGCAGGCACAAATTCCAAAGGGACAACTGGAGCCCAAAAAGCACAGAAAAGCTCTCGGGTTCCTGCCCAGAAGGTTCGCCTATCGAGGGTAAGGAGAGCAGCAGAGCCCCGCCTCCCTTCTCAAAGTTCAAATCTGGCCTCAAGAGCAGGTAAGTGGATGAAAGCAGGCTCGTTGACCCCATTTTTTGAAGGGCGTCCCCTTCACATCGGTGACAGTTACTCCTATAACCTGCCCTTTTACTGTTTGCATCATACAAGTTGCGTGCGGACCCGACGTTCATTCCTAACGACCCAGCCAACAAAA